TTCAATGGCACCAAATGGAGCCCATTCTCTATGCTCACTAATTATCGTACGATTATGCTGGACAATGGTGACGGCACCGGTAGCACGATATATGGTGTGCGAGCATTTGCCAATCTTCTTATGTTAAGCTTTCACTATTTCCTGGAAATAGCAAGGTGGCCCGCAGAAAATCAATTTATAATAACCGCTATGACTGAGAATGTGACGTAAGTCATATATACGTATATACTTATATATATAAGTATATATATATAAAAATATATATATATATTTTTCGGTGTAATATTAAAATTATTGGTAATCAGTGATCACGAATCACTAACCAATGAGTAAGGTTGTAGAATTTTTAAACTGAAAACAAATTGAGTGTCTCACAAAAAAATGCTTTCATTTGATCTTTCAGTATTTCATCTTACATGTAATGTTTGAAAGTTATCATCTTTATGCGATGCTCAATTTGTTTTGCTTTCTCAAAAGTTTTTGTTAACATTCATCAAGCTTATATACCGATAGCGTTCCCAAATCCAAAGCTCGAATTCCTTGAAAATCCTTATTTTTGTCCCAAATAAATTTCATTTTAAAAGTCTTTAAATTTCACGATTCCTTAGATATTGATCATAAATGTCCTTGATACCTCACTGAAATGGTCATATTTCTTGACGATATGACTGATTCCTTGAAATTTGGTAACAAATGGGAGAAATGCAAAACAAATTGAGTCCCACAAACAAATGCGTTCATTTTATGTCAGATGTATAGTCTAATAGTTCACCTAGTTCACCATTTGCGAGCCTCAATTTGTTTTTCTTTCTCAAAAATCTTGTAAAGATTAATCAAGCTTATATACTGTCGGTATGATACCGATAAAATTAATTTACTATATTTTACAAGCATTCATAATATTTTGACAGTTACGCAGTGTTTTTCCTACCATACGTGGCCGTACTCACCGGATTCCTTGTGAGTGGTATGGCGTCAGCAAGGTGCTTTATCCAAGACTACAAAAAAAGCAATAACAATGCAACATCGATGCTGCTACCGTATTACCTAGGTCGCATCATCCAAATAGCACCAATGTATTATATATCGCTATATTTCTACATAATTTACGTTAAATATCTCGTAAATGATATGTTTTACGACACATCTGTTGTCAGCGCCTGTAATAGCAATTGGATTCTCAATGTATTGTTTGTATCCAACTATATCTCATCCGATCAGATGGTATATAAGTTTTGTATTTGCTATATAACAGTTGTGAAATTTGATTGGTTTTAACAATGTTTACAGTGCATGTATTGGTCCTGGTCCATTCCCGTCCTTTTACAGTTAGTCCTCATCGCGCCGGCATTTACGATTTTACTGATCAAGTAAAAGCACATTCATTTATAATCCAATAACCAACTATTTGAAATCGTATTTTAAATTTTAAAAATATTTTATAAAATAGAAATTCTCGAACGGGCCTATGGGCAATCATTATGGGACACATTATGTTCATGGTCATTGAGTTTTATAAATTTTACTCGAATGGATTCGTTAAGCAATTCTCACTTGATGATTTTGCACCTAATGACCATCTGGTGGAATTTGTGTATGTATACAAATGACAATTAGCATTAAAATCGAAATAAATTTTTTTGTTATTAAATCATATATAATCAGGCAGAAAATAGTGAAAACTGCTCATTTCAGATGCCTACGAAACAATGATTTTTAAACCTACCAGAATATGACCTATGACCCTGTTAACATTGATGTCTTATTTCTATTATGCATTTCATTTAGGAAACCCCATTCAGTGGCAAATGTAATGCACATCAAGCCTTACCGGTACGGCTGCTACTATCTGAATGGCCTACTATTAGGCTATTTAATGGAAACCACTTCAGATATGCGCAAAATATACGATAATATTTACGTCAAAACATGTG